AAACATGAATGAATACACCTTTAACTGCAAGTTGACTGCCAGTGCACCATGCATGCAACAGGCGTTTAGCGAGGTTGCTGTGATCGTTTATCCGTGCTGGGGTGAAACCACTCAAATTTGTCATTTATTTATCCAGAAAACAACTGCCACCGAGTCTCATGATTTTTTCGTAGGGATCTGCAATGGGACGTTTGGCCAACAATATCAGTTTAATCAGTGTTTCGCAATTCCCATGTCCGCTCAAATTGTGGCCATCTCTATTGTTGACCCTGAACCAATCGTGGAAATTACACATTCCCATGGCAATCAGACAATAATTGTGACAACAACGCCGATGGATAACTGCGGCCTTGTTAGCCGCAACGTGTGGGAGAATAGTGGCACAGCGGTTCACGCACCGCGCTATCAGCCCGACAACCTGAGTTTGGTTCTCGTCCGCGGCTAACATCAGTGACGAGTTGTCTGAACCGATCCTGCCCCCCCCCCCCTCTTCACCAATTCGCACGGACTAGGGTGGTGAAGTATGGTCAAACAACTCCGACGATGTGGGGAGGCCTTCATCCAGCAGTGGATTGACAAAGGGGCTGTGAATTGTTGTCAACTGTGAAAATGCGTGGTGGGGAGTGAACAACAGTCATGGGACTGCCAATGCAACAATCGGTCACTTGTTTTACAACTGAGCCTTGCATTTGCGAGACCGGATGGTGTCACAGATTACCCAGCTATTACATTCTTTAGCAAAAAAATGTGTCCACATCGCATTATTTTTACGTGGCCTTCAAGTACAAAAAACATGGTTATCTTATAAAATGTGAACTTATAAATGGCTCATGTAGAAACACAACTATGGACATAAGCTGGCAGCAACAACTGTGGGAATTTGATGTCGTGCGGATATGAGATTCCACACATCTGCGTGTGCCATGTGACGGTGACAGAAACGAATATTCGCGTATGGGAAAAAAATGATTTTTTTAATGAGGGAATGTGCGGGCCCGTTGTGACGCAACTATACACCGTCAACAAAATAAACCGGTTATGAAAAGCAGGGGATAGAAAGATTGGGAATGGACTCGCTGCCCCAAGGAAAACATGTTTTAACATTCTCACTGGCTCAATCTGTTCTTTCCCGGATAGTCCAGTGGTATTCTTCAAAATCAACAACGGAAAGTTAGGATTTTTGTGCCGATATCTTGGTCCTTTAGCAATATTAAGTGAACGATATCCGAAAAATGAATACCTCAATCAAGATCGAGAATATTCGCTGGACCCCAAGACTACCCCCGGCCTCCTCCCAACCCCTGCCCACAAACAAATTTGGTGACTTGCTTCAAGTATCCCCCCCCCCCCCCTTGGGTAAAACAAGCGCTGCGGGACTGCTTTGATGCATAGGGAAGTGCAGAAGAATCCATTGTTGAATTGTACTATGTTAATAATGCAATTCATAACACGTACGACATTTCACGAGCATAAATGGTCGTGACTTGAGGCGTGTGGCCAAGTAAAGTGTTGCTCAAAAGCCACTTGAAAGTGGACACTGGGCTTTGTTAGGAGGCCTTATTTATTGCTTGCGCGGAGACAATGTGCTGCTGGAGAGTAGTGTGATGAGGGAGAGGCAGGCAAAGGGCGAGACCATGGAGGATCTGACCAGCGTGGTGAAGTATGGCACAAAGGTACCATTCCTCGGCTGACACTCCATCATGACCGACTGTTGGCCATTACCGTACTTCTAATTACGGGGGATGACTTCATACCTGTCAACCCCTTATCAGTGCCGACCTTATTACGCCAATTCAGACCTTATTGGTCACCCCGTGACCTTATAAAGCTCAACGTCCATCAAAGTCCCATCACAAGGGAGAAACACAAATAGATGTTTTTGCTCGTATGAAAAGGCTGTATGCTGTATGAACCTAAAAACTCAATTTACCTGTACAAGAATACGGGTGAACTGTATGGGTTGACAGGTATGTGACTTGATTGCGTAACTGATGTGGATCGCAGCAAATGATGCCATTCAGAATTGTCATTGGAACAGTATAATTAAAATGTATCACTGTCCCTTACAGCTTCCATTTCACCAGTTTTTGCTCAATTACTCTTACTGTCTAGTGGGACAAAGAATTGGAGCGGTAGTTCAGTATGCTATCAACACGACGACCCGAGTTAGATTCCCGATGACAGTTGAAATCCGTGGCAGTGACGCCTGATATGAAAACTGGTCCGGTCCTCCCCACCCCTTTACTAACCCACACTGGCCAGCATGACAAAGCATGGTTAAACAGTTGAAAAACAAGATTTTCAATGCACACTTTTATTTGCACTGAAAAGTACAAAATACATTCTTTGGACCCCAAAATGTATCACATTTCATGTGCTGAATAAAAGTGGGTGCTTTGCATAAAGAAATTTATACATATCGATAGGAAGCCACCCATTTTTATTGAGAAAATCAAATGTGATTAATTCTGGGGTCAAAATAATTTATGTTACTTTTCAGTGCAAATAAAAGTGTGTGCATTGAAAAACGTGTTTCCACCAGCTTTTTTCCGTAAAACGATTAACTATTTAACTGCAATTAAATTTTACCAGGTAAGGCCCACTGAGCTATATAGCTCTTTTTTCAGAAGCAACCTGGCCACAAATTATATCTCAATTAAGTGGCTTATCATGTTAGAATGTATCGCAGTCAAATACTCGAAGCACATGTTTCTAAATGTGGAGGGAGAAACCGGAGTACCCGGACAAAAATCCACACGACCACGGGGAGAATAATATAAACTCCAAATATACCGGCGTGAGGGTCAGCATCAAACGCACGACATCCTGTATACTTGGCGAGGTAGTTAACTTAACATCTCGTCACCGCGAGATGTTAACTGTTAAGAACAGTATCACTATAACCCTCTACATCTATGAACAATTAGCCCAGACTTGAAATGCGCCCGATCTGGTCAGACTTTGAAGGCCAAGCAGATCCGAGCTTGGAAAGTGCCTGGATGGTTTGCCCACCATACACACACAGGTTGTCATTGGGCTGCAGGGCAACGTTGTGTTTTATATCGAGTTGTACTCTACGTCGATGCTGCCTGTCGTTACCAATTTTCACTGACCATCCGCAGTGAAGTATGGTCAAACGGCCTCTACAACCAGCATGGCGTGGGGAGGCCCTCATCCAGCAGTGGATTTACAGAAGGTCTCTGTGCTCCTCCAGGCATTGTGCGGCGTTCATCTCCACCAGTGGAAATTCCACATTCCCATGGCAGGTACAATACTTAAGAACCAGACGACTTCGCACAAAGTGCAACTTATTTTATGATATTGATGGCTTGCCTATGTCAACCTCTGACCCTACAATAAATGGTAAGCATGTGCATTGCTGTACAACAGCCTACATTATGGAATAGGGTTTCCCCTTTTTCTGCCAACAAAACAGGTGTTACGATGTTAAAACACCAAACTGAAACCTTTAACAAGGAATCATGCCTGCATTAACTACAATAATTGTGGTCAGAATGCAAACCAAAAACACTATGATAATATATGCATTGTCTTTGAAACCGATTGGTCCACACGAGACAGCTTTCTTTCGAGCCTCTGGTCTAACACTGTTTGAGACGAGGCTCGAAAGAAAGCTGTCTGGTGTGGACCAATCAGTTTTAAGGACAATGCATATATTATCAGAGTATGTTTTTTGTTTGCATCATGACCACAAGTGTTGTGGTTAATGCAGACATTATTCCTTGTTAAAGGTTTCAGTTTGGTGTTTAAACATCTTAACACCCGTTTTGTTGCCAGATAAAGGGGAAAACCTATTCTCATATTTTGGTACTGGCAAAGGAGGTCCCATGATGTACATTATGGAAGGTTGATAGCACGCAGCACGGCTATTACAAGTGGAATAACGATCACCCCAATTGCAAAGTAGTGAAATTACATTTTGAACAACACGAAACGGAAAAGGGCGTTTAATTGTAGTATTTGCCACCATTAAGTACTGTACTCTATGAAAGACGGCAAGAGACAGATTGGAATGCTTTCACAATGCGCGCAAAGCAGTGACTATCGCGATACCGTATTTAACGTTCACAGATGTATCACTTTCATTTAAAGCATTGATATCAACATAAATAATTTGGCAATTAAAAAATGGATAACATTACGGCATTTAATAATTCATGATCACGGTTCTCGCCTGCTCGCTCAACTTGAGCATCACCATGTTGCGCTCGGCGCATTGGAACGGGCGTGACGAAGCAGATGATAATACCATTTATAACCATTATAACTAGATCATTTTTTTAACAAAAGCAGTGGCTATTATTGTTGTTCTCGCGCTCAGGTAACGAGAATCACAGCGGCCACTCCGGCGCCATGACGAGCGACGCTGTAAGCGCACGCCTCTCATTGGTCAGAGGCTAATTCAATAAAGTGTGCAATAACCCCATGACCAACAATGTCTTTGGGAGGCCTTCACCTGCTGGTGGCTAGGTGGCGAGATGTGAACTGCCTAGCCTGGTATACAGGAGGTTGTGGGTTCGATCGGAACCGTGACGCCTGTATATTTGGCGTTTGCGTGTTCTCCCTGTGGTTGCGTGGATTTTATATCTGGGTCCTCCGGTTTTTCCTTCCACATTTAGAAACATGCATTTCAAGTATTTGGCTGAGATACATTTCCACAAGCACACTTCGTTGAGCTACCATTTGTGGCCAGGTCGCTTCTGAAAAAGAGCAAAGTAGTTGAGTGGCCTTTACCTGGTAAATAAAATATAATAGCTTGAAAGTTTTCTTTTATCGTGGATATATTGCTCAAAGGACTGTTACATTCCATGAATGATAATAATTGCATGTTCATCGATTCTATTCCACGCTCCATTGCCCAGATCTGATGCAGAGAAAAGTAAAGACACGTCCAATTTTGTTAAAGAGTATCAAGACGAATACAGAGTACATTATTAAGAAAGTGTCACATCTGGTTGAATGAAAGAATGTCACACGTATGATATCACAGGTCATCTTTATTCGGATAGTGTTTTCTCACACTGTTTCTACAATTTGCAGTGATAAAGCATGCAGAGTCTATTGCATACTCTTGACAGTAACAAATGGAACAATGGTACAAATTACATTTGTAACAAGAACAGAACAAAGTCCACCTCCCGTGTTTTTGGGAACCCCCCCCCCCCCGCTCTAATGTGAAATAAAAATTGAGCAAAGAAAATAATTTCCCTACAATCCTTGAGCATTATAAAGTCTACCTATTTAATGCTGAAAATACTTTCAGAATACGCTACAAAAAGTTATTTAAATCTTCATTAATGCAAAAACAAAGTTGTATTTAGAATTTTTTTTCTTATTTTCAACTTTTATTTATTTTTTTGCACTTTTTTCTGGCCAACATTAAGCTAACCACATCCGTAATTCAGAAACATTACAAAATACACTACAAACCCGACGAACCATACATCAAAACAAATGTGCAGATGATGCTGAGCAGCGGCGAATCAAACACATTTGAGCACAAATCTAGGCCAGAAGCAGTCATTATCAAAGGCATCATAACGATTCATTCCTGCAGCGGCTCTACAAGTTGTCACGATTCACAAATTTGATTCCAGACGATTCTCGTTCAAATTCTTTCTTGGGTGGAATTTGTTGTTGTTGTTGCCTTGTTTGTACATTCACAGAACCATACATGTACAAAGCATTGGCCTCAATGTAACAGTACATAATTTGCACAATATTTTTTGTAGCAACTGATTCACCCCCAACGATTCAATGCATGAATCTTGAGCGTAAGAATGAATCAGAACTTACCAATCACGCATCACTCCATGCTTTACCATTGAAGACAAGTGGCATTTCAAAACATACAAGGGAACACTCTCAGCTTCAGGTTTTTTCACGTTCAACTGAACTCACGAAACACCCTGTGATCAGTTTATTTTCGCAGAATAACTTGTCAATGTATATAATCCAGAAAGTTGGGCTAACTGCATAAAAAAACTGAATTCTCTACGGTGCTCGGAAACATCCAGGGAACTCCTCAATCCAGAACTGCCTTCCTTCACCCACCCACCCATGCGTGAACACATCCACACATTTTACAGCCTGCCTGCTGAGCAGAAAGCAGCAGCTGCAGCACCATGCTGGCTCACAGACTCTCAAGAGCAGGGATCGGCAACCTGCGGCTCCGAAGACACATGAGGCTCTTTAAGGACTGCTTCGTGACGTTATTTATTAAGCACCACAGTCTCGTATTCACATGCATTGTGGTTCTTGAAATATTGAGTTTGCCGAATTCGAAAAGTATGTCTCTTCTTGTTAATGTTTGCCGACCACTGCTGAAGAGCAAGGCCCCACCACCCGTGGTAGCGCAAGCTCTATGTGCAGGGCAATTCTTAACCTTTTCATCCACCAATAATTATGATCGTGTCATTTGACGAATCCATAATTATAATCGTGTTATTTTAGCGAATCATGACAAAAGTACAGTGCTGTACTTTAAAATAATATTCTTCCCCCCTAAGTACTACTAAACGACTCAAGGCTGCACACAGCCCTCAACGCTTTGGTTGCTGGGGTTTTCCAAAAGCCCTTTACCTACCTCATCCTTTATGGCCTTTTAGGCAGACTCCACTCTACCTACTGAACCAAATTCTATTTTGTGTTGCTCATGTAAAACACTTAAGGCCAAACTTTAAAAGACAGACAACAAAGAAAACTTGGAACAAAATCAACTATAAATGCCATGAACATAGTCTTGGGCACGGATGTCAAACCTACATTTTGGAGCAGCCATTGAACATGCTCTCACTGAAGAAATTCCGTTCCAGAATTTTTCACCTGTCACAAAAAACAACACAACTCCCCCGTGGGAATTAGTGACGTCGAGAACATCACCTGATCCATGCCCCCTGGTCACACAGCCTCCTCTGTAGTGGCAGGTGGTGCTGTATTTCACACTTAAAATATTGCAGCTGGGCCACTTGTGAATGTCACAAGATTCAGTCAATTGCATGGTTCTCCAAGAATTTAGCCTCGAGGTCCTCCCCTGGATTGTCCCTAAAAAATGTATTCCTGCTCCTAGTGATTCTTGATCCCAATGAGCTGCTCCACCAGGTGTTGCCATTAGAACCATCGCTTGTGGTCCTTAAAGAGTGTCGATGGCTGACATCTGGAGAAAGAAAACAGCTCGCACGTTGTAACATAAGATTTAACTCGTGTCGATCGCAAGTTAAAATTGAAAATGCATACATGGAGAACATGTTTAACGTTTGACTCATTGTGAAGTGCTGTTTAGCCCAGTGACTCAAACAAGTAGTGAATATCACTCTATAAACGTTTACGTTGTTTGTTGCCAATCCTTTTCCTCTACTGTGGTGAAAAACAATCCCCTTATACGTTGTTACCATCAGGCATGGTACGTGCACTTACAGAAGTTATTCTAAGCGTTTGCGATGTATTTAACATATTCTTTATAAGTAGACCTAATTTAAATTACAAATAACATTTTGCGCAAGTTGTCACATCACTTACACACACACCGTTGTTAACACACTATAATTCACAATTCAAACATGTTACATAGACATTGTTTTTTAGAATGCCCCAAATAGTTTGGTTTTATAATTGTCCTTTTAAAAATAATATTTCTCAAATGCATTGTATTATCAGAATTTGTAGTATTTGCTTGCAGGTTGCTATAATCTCTGGCAAACAGAACTAGCTACATCTTCCCAAAACACAGGACATTGGCGTGCAAACATATGCTACACGATTCAACAAAATACACGTAATACTTTGCGATAGATACTGTAGCAATCTTTGTTCACAACATATCTGTTATTAAAACATATGGTTGCCGTTGCAATGCTGTGGATTTCTATATTTATATAGCCGTATAATTGAATTAGAAATGCCCGTTAACCCTTTTCTGCTAAACAATGGTGATCGCTCTTTGTAATGGAGCATCATAAAGTGCTAAAGGAATTGTGTCCATGAAAGCAAATCTTGTTGACAGCTGAATAATGATTTATAATTATTCTTGTAAATGCAATTGGGCTTAGCTAAGGTTTAAATGGCATAGGCCTCGTATGCAATTGAAAAGTGACTTCAAAGCACTGATACGTTCATTGGCTGCAGGTTTGTACACTCACCTGTACGTAAATAATCCAATAACACGCAACTGGTCCGGTCCACAAGACGAAATCACGGCGAACAAACTCGCTGTCCTTCAACGACGCTTTTCACCTTAGTGCTCCATTAGGGAGCTTGTCCTGTAATCCCCCTTAAAGACCAGGATCTAATAATAATAAAATTACGTGCCCCAGAGACCTGAATTAAAACTAAAATATTTGTGCTGCGAGTCTTAACGTTGGAATGACAACATTATAACAATTTGAGTTAGAATGCATGTATTTTTTATCTACCACTTGAAAATCACCATCTTTTTAATGAAAACATAATGAGCCACGTCAATTGGAGCAATGTAAACTTTTGCTGAAAAATAATCAGAACTTTTTAATTCTGGGGACATTTTAAGGGGTATTGAAATTAGGTATACTTTGCATTGACAGCGTATTGTGTATAACTATTGTACATGCAAGGCAATTGATTCCAAAAATCCCAAAGCTTTACTCGAGTGTAAAAATGGCAATTTGATAAACTTGCCTGCGTATATGCTATTTGCTTCAGTGGACAAATATTAATGCTGTAATATACCCAAACAATATCCAAATGCCCTACAAGCAACCAAACATAATGCAAATTGCTTTCCATACCGAGTCAGGGTCACTGAACCCACCGTGTAATTTACAATTATTTTATTTACACTGGTCATTGAGGGGGTAATGTATGTAATTGGCAATCAAAAAAGCACATGAAAATAAAGTCGCGTCAATCAAGTCCTCTCATTAAATGCTGCTTAGCAGTGTGCATTCAGCGTGATGAAACTGAACATCTCATTTGTTTGAAAACTAAGAATCAGGTTCATATAAAGCCAAGTACCCAGCAAAGAGGGGTGCAGTGGTGGCGGAGCAATTAGCCTGGCGACCCGAGTTCGAAACCTGGCCGGTCTTGCACTCCCTTCACGAAACCACTCTGACCAGCGCGGTAAAGTATGGAACAACCGCAATGACCAATATGGTGTGGGGGACGCCTTCATCCATTGATTGAGAATGGCAAAAAATAATATATTTTATCTTATATACACCGCTGTGAGCCAGGTTATGGGTCTTCAGTCGATGATGTGTGTCCTATATGGCCTCTTGATGTTCATTCCTAAAGGGAACAAATGGCTAGTGTTTAGTACATATGCCTTGTTATAAAAACATTCTAAACAGTGGCCAAGTTAAACGTGTAAATTCATCGCAATCACAATGGAGCAGCGAGATGACTTACCTGCGCAGCTTTGGTCTCAACCTGAATGTCCTAGCAATTAATGAGCAGCAAGCAATGTAGCAGTACATGCGGAAGGGATTTAGAACGCTTCAACAGAATATTGACTGCACTGATAACATTTATTTAACAGTGGCTACTGCAGGCTGAGGAGCAATCGAGACCAGAAGGTACAAGGACAAGGTAGCTGTGGCTGGAAGTCGAACTTGGATCGTCGGGTTCATAACGCAGTACGCCAAGCACTGCGCCAGCGTTCCACCCTCTTGACAAGTACGCTTATGTTGAAGTAAATAGTCACGCGATGTCTAAACAATGAGTGTGTATGCTGCTTTATCCCAGATAAGGGTGGTAATTTTACTGCGCAGTCTTTTGGGGAAATGCCGGTGGCATTATGCGTGCTAGCAAAAGCACCGCTATACTGTAAAGATGACATCTCTAAAGTGAATATAACAGTCTGGTTGGGTGGTCCATTTCCAAACCGTCACATGTGTTGACCGTGAGTGGGAATCGAACTCGGGTCGTCGGGTTCACAGCGTGCTAATCGCTGCACTACTGCTCCCACACACACAATCGTTGTGCTTTACTGGAAATTATTACATTTTTGGTGAATAGAAATTGGGTGACATCTCAGCAGATGGGCTTGTGTCATAATTAGATATCAGTGACCCAGCCAGCTGGCTCAATGGCAGAGTGAGCGGCTCACAGTCAGAAGGTTTAGAGTTAAATTCCTGGTTGGGTGTTCACTCAGTCCATCATCTTTCCGGGGTCAACACAACGAGTACCACTTTCATGGGGAAGTCAACAGTGGTCGTTCTATGAATAGACTCGCCCCTGCCATTGTAATGAGGAATTTCCACCAATGGCTCAGGGCTCTAAAACAGGGGTTGAGCACCACCTAAAATCTCATTTGAGCAGGAAATAACCGAGTTGTGTGGCCAGTATACTGATATTTTCTTTTTAATTAAAATAGGACGCAATGCCATTGCTTAAACACCACTATTATTAACCTAAGTATGCTGATGTTCCTGATGTTGAGGATGCAAATATATTTGTCAGAAATATAATTAACAGGGTCTGTTTAACTGCTATATAAATGTAACATTTAAGTCCATCAATCAATTCTCTTTCTTGAGCAATTAAAGCCCTGAAACAGTTTCAACTCCTCAAAGTGTCGGCAATAAGGCGATGCAAAATCAGTGCTTACTTCAGAGAAGTCTGAGAAGTCACAGCATTCCAGGGTTTGCCTTTCTTACACGGCTGCTGGCACACACTGAAGGACCATTGCTCGATGTAGTTACATTTGGGTTTGTTGGTAATAAAAGACCTTCCCTCACTATGTATTACTTTATTAACCAAAATCCGCCAAAACGTGGCACAGCGGTTGTGTGTGTATATATATATGAAAACCCTAGATACGTATACACATACACAGAATCATATACACAGTATATTTACGAGTACGTGCATGACTCTGGCTTGAGATGAAATTGAAAGCAATCTCTCTTGCTTTAGCACTCAGGAGATTGCACCCGCGGTGCATTACATGTCACCGCATCTCGTAAGACCAAATATTGCCGGGTGTACCCAAACAATTCTAGTCAACAAAGCACGAAAAAAATTACAGTTCATTTGATTATTTCTCCATTATTGTTGTTTTTCAGCATGGCATGTTTCGGAATACATTTGTAATGTAATAATGGAAATCGATAACGATGAGGATAATAATAAAAAAACAATAATCAGTTCCCAGTGGCACCGATTGGTGGCGGGCGTTTCATTGTTATTGCTGTGCGAGGGTGAAAATCCACACGTTCCGTTTCCCACCTCGCTTAGCAGTGGGACAGTGGGTGCCGAACGGCCGGCGGGAGCGAGCGTAGCTCTTACAAAGCAAAGACAAAGATCCCGCGTAGAGACTTAACAGACTGTTGGAGCAAGTTCTGTTAGCGAGCACCTATAAAGGCAGGCACAGCACACGAGGGGGTGGGGTGGCCAGCACCACGCCTGGCCGGCTTGGTCTTCTTAGTGGTGATGTTTACACACCACACCAGGTACTCATTTGAGGCTGAGTCGATTAAGGCGAGGCCCAGGACCAGTCTAGATATTCGTCACTGGTGTTGTCCGTGAGCGGGAATCGAACTCGTGTCGCCAGGTTCGTAGCGCAGCGCACTAACGGCTACACCACTACTACACAGCACGCACCCACGCGTACGAGCGTGCGAGTCACGGCGTCCAATGGCAGCGTCTGTGCAAGAGTGCACGCGGTAGCCCGATAAGCATGGTTGTAAAGTGAGAAAGAAGTTCGACACAACAACAACCGCCATTCGCCACTAAGTGGCGGTGACGTCACCACGACGCTTGTTGTGCCAGGTTCAACACACATACATACAAACAACAACAACAAAACACAGCCCCACGTCACCCGCCGCCAAGCGTCGCCCCTCGCCGCATCACCTCTCCGCATCACCGCGCCGGGCGGTGGTGCGCGTGGCGCTCGCAAAGAGGAGCTCACTTTTTCTTTCGGTAGAGCTTTTGGAATTCGCCCGTGTTGAGACGTGGCCGCGGTAGGTCGCCGAACATCTCCGTGCCGTCCGTCACGCTCATGGCCAGGGCCTTCATGCTGGCTCCGATCTGATCCAGGTCCGGCGCGTTCATCTGTGCGGGTTCGCAGTGGGGTTATGCTTTGGATTTGGTGGAGAGTTGTGAAATATAAGATGCTGCTGCTGCGTGGAAAGAAAACCAAACGGAGAGAGAGAGGTCCCGCACCAAGTGGGAGAAGAAAATCTGAATTAGGCATGGAATGAGCTGAAGGAGGTGACTGGGCAGGTGGTGGTGACAGGTAATGAGCTGAAGGTGATCGAGGGAAGATTCTTTTGGAGAATACCAAGAGGAAAGATAAGAACGACAATGCTAGGCAACTCAACAAGGATGTTTGGACAGATGAAGAGGGGCAGAAGAAAACAACGGAACGTGATGGATAGAATTATAACGCAGATCTGTCTACGGGCAGAGCACTCATTGAATGTGAGCTTCTGGGCTGATACTATGACTGCCAGCACAGGCACTCTGTTTTTCGTCTGGTGGCTTAAATCCTCTGTGTGATTTTGTAGATTTAGCACAAGGTGAGGGAACAGCTAGACCTCAGCTAATTTAGCTGATATTAAGGAATATTCTACCAACTTTGACAATAATACTGCCACCTTGTGGCTAAATAAAAATACATAACAAGCTAACAGACCTGACGGAATTTATTTTTCTTTCCTATCTTGTAATCTCAGTCCGTGTTTACACCACTGCCTCCATAGACGTGTCCATTGAACTAAAGTCACGTAGGTTAAAAGAAAAAAAAGAAAATTTGCTGTATCAAGTAACTTACTTGATACAGTAATTTGCTGTGACGGTTTCACCTGAAAACGGAAGCTTGTGTTGCCTCCGATACGTCGTGATTTAATTTATTTGTTATCTTTTAACCTACGTGACTTTACCGAAAAAACCAAAGAGTATGAATCCTTGCAGTCACGAAAGCTTCAAATCTAGAATATGATATAAAATCAAGCCAAGTTACTTATTATGCAATGCAATAGTGCATGAAATATACACAGGGAAGAGATTAACTTTATTTAAATGCTGGTCCCTTGTCCCAGTGCCCATTCTGGAGGGGGCATGAGGGCACATGCACGCCGATTAGCCCCAGGCATGACAGTCACGGAGCTCAATCACAGCCACTTCTCCACAGCGAATGTGTTAACACAAACGGACACACACCTCATTCGCTCTCTCATGTCATGCGTGTCACATGGCGCTGAAAGCATGTCTTGGTCATCGAGAAACGTGCTCGAGTGCGATGTTCTCACCCTGGCCTCTTTGTCTGGGTCGTCCTGATGCTTGCCCTTCTGCTGATGATGCTGCGGATGATGCTGCTGATGATGCTGCTGATGATGTTGCTGATGATGCTGCTGCTGATGCTGCTGCTGGACGTGCTGCTGATGCTCGATTTGCTCCTTGAAGCCCCAGACTGGCACTCGAACGGGCAGTGACTTTGCGTACTGGTGGCAGCCGGCCCTGGAGTTAGTGTCCTCACTCAAGCTGCCGTCTGTGCACACAGAAAGGTTGGTGTTAAAACAAAGTATTCCCCTTATAGCCTCAACAGACTATGAAGGCATTTCCAGCTCCAGGCTGGGACCGCTTTTTCCTACGCAGTACTGTTGTTTCCACATGATACCAGGTACTCATTGAAGGCCGAGTTGACCTAGGAGAGGCTTAGGACCGGTTCTCTTTGGCACAATAATATAGCTAACCGTGTTATTAACCATGGCACACCGCTGGTAGTCGGCAAGGCCACACCAAGCGGTCAGTGGAAATTATTGCAGATTTATAATTTTTCATAAAACGTACATTTTATTTCACGTTTGTCCACGAACTTTTTTTTTTTACGATTGCCAGTGGTCCTTCAGTCCAGAAAGGTTGGGGGGCACAGTAAATGGGGGCACCACGGTGGTGAGATGTAAACTACCTCGCCTGGTATACAGGAGGTCGTGGGCTCGATCCCAACCCTGACGCCCTGTCGTCATGTTCATTTTTTTCCAGGTGCTCAGGTTTTTCCCACCACATTTAGAAACGTGCGTTTAGAGTTTGGGCTGATATAAATATTGACGTGATAAGCCACTCCATTGAGCTATCATTTGTGGCCAGATCGCTTCTGAAAACGAGCTGTACAGTTCAGTGGGCCTTACTTGGTAAGAAAAAACTTTTGTTTTGTTTATAACTGGATGGAGTACACAAAATCTGTGATCTGATCCCATCTGTGAAGGTCATTCCTGGAGTCCACAAACTAAGTTGTACCTGCGGTAGCAGTTACATTGGGGAAACGAAACGACATGTCTTGGACCGTGTTCGCGAACACAAGTCAGATCTGAAACACGACAGAACCAATACCTCTGCCGTGGCTGACCATTGTCCTAACGCTGTGGGCTCGCATGATATTGTTTTTTCTGAGACCAAGGTACTTTGCAAACCTTCGGGCAACTATCAAAGGTTTGTTCATGAAGCCATCCAGATATATAAACATAGACAAAACTTCAACCGAGAAGATGGATACAAATTGAACAATCATTGGAAGGATGTTATTAACCAAGTAATGCCTTAACTGGTGGTGGTTGTTTCCATCCTACCTGCCGTTTACTAGTAGATGTCCCCCCCCCCCCCCCGTGTCCCTACCCCACACCTCCCCCCCTCTCTCTCTCTCTCCCCCCTTTCTTACCTATATAACCTCTTGCCATGGCAACTCTCTCGCCTACTTCAGCATTTTCTTGCTGTGGTTGTTCCACCTGATTAAGATTGCTTGTGTTGCGATCGAAACGTCGTGATTTGTTTGATTTTATTTCTACCTACGTGATTTTACCGAAAGAACCAAAGAGTATGGATTCCTGCAGTCACGAAAGCTTCAAATCAAGATTGGATGGAGTAGTTGTCCTATCACCCTCAAGTGGGCAGGCGTGGATTTGTGACTGAAAATCCTGCCAATGGGGGTTGTCTCGTTTGCATTTGCAGTGCCCCCTTGTGCTCACTGCCGTTCATTTCCCATATTGTGTTGAGTCCATGTGGTCAAAATAGGCATCTCCTGCAGTCAGGCTTTTTCTATTCGTGCATAAGTCGTACTGCATGGTTTCACAGCCACTATAAATGTAAAAGAAAAATCTTAAATCGAATTGTGACTCTGAATTGCAACATTTCATGAAACCGTCAGGCTGCGAAAATTAATAATTCCACCTCTACTCCTGAGGCAGCAGATGGTTATACACATTCAACCCTTTCCAATAGGGGGCACTGCAGACGTAGTGAAGGCTTACATTCACGGGGTCACGGTAATTGTCTTTCTTAGGAGAGCTCAAAACTAGAGAAAAGCAACTGTAAGCCCTGTTGACAAGATGCGGGACGCAGCCCCCTGAATGAATGGAATATTAAAGGGTACCATCAACGATGACACTGATCGGTTGAAGTCAAAATAGCGATTCACACTTTGCATTTCAATGCAGTCAAACTTTTATGACGGGCCATGCAAGTGATGATGACCTTGTTGTTGTTTTAGTATCGTATTCTCTGAATAATAAGACAAACTATTGTTCCCTGTATTATAAACAACAGTTGGGGGCGTGTCTTATACTGCGGAGAATATTTTGTCCTCCGGAAAATGTGTTTCAATCTATTTGTTCAGAATCATCTTTCCGAAGATGGTTCTCCAAAGCAATACATGACCACCTAGAAGAGAGGGGGATACCATCAGCTGTTCAGAATAATCTTCCAGAAGACATCAATCACCTCCCTATTGCAAAGCAGAACATTCACAACCACATTCCGGATGTCGGCTCTCCATAGAACCCGTACGCTCTCGTGATGATGAAAAAAAAACAACTCAAAATGACCCTAAAGCGTGGGGTGCGTATTATTTTCTGGAGCATCTTACGATGGGAAAAATATGGTTGTTTCTATTTTTGTTAGAACTTTTATTTTACTGAGGCCCATCACCTCCAAACGTTGGGGAGCAGCAGATGAGAAGTATGTAAGAATATCTGTCAACCCCTTATCAGTGCCTACCTTACTGCAGACCAATTCAGACTTTATTGGTCACCCCGTGCCCAATAAATCTCAACGTTCATCCGACAAAGTCCCATCACAAGGGAGAAACACAAACAAATAGACAAAAAAAAGTTTTACTCAACTTCCCTGTACAAGAATAGAGGTAAACCGTATGGGTTGAAAGGTATGTTTATGTTGAATGTCTTTTGCATCGTACGTAGCCAACCGTGCTATAGAAGGATGCAGGGTAATCGGAAAGATGACGCTGCTGCTGCGTTGGCATCGTTGTGCAAGCAGAGTTAACAAAAACAGTCAAAACGTTCGACAATAAGATTGTGGCCTTAAAATAAACCGTAATAGGCGACGTTTCAGGCAACGTCTCTTGATCATAGCCCATTTATGTGCGATGAAGAAGGGAATTTGCCGGAAACATCACCTATCCTATATATTTCCTTTTAAGGGCAGAATGTTATTGATGAATGTGTTGATTTTTGTTTTAATAGTCGACGAGTTTGGGTAAATGAGCTCATAAACACCAATATATGATCTACAATTATATAAAAGCACAATTATAAATTGAGGGCAACATGAAGGGAACTAAGATAAGTGTAAAGCGGTCTCATCTAAAGTTTACCGCTTGAAGCATAACTCTTTATGTAAATAAGATTGACGGTTGAAGGTGTGGCGAGGCCTACACTCGCTGTAGGGATTGCGGTGACCGGTAATGAAGTCAAGAGTGCTTCGTAAAGGCAAGAATTTAAGTGGTGACAGAAGATTAATGTGTTTTTTTATTAGGATTTTATGAAGCAACAACATAGGCCCCATAACAATGCTCTAGGTGACAGAAAAACCGGTCGGGGACAAACTCGAGGCCCTCAGACCCGACGTGATCGGTCTATATAAGACAGGGGAAATGAACCGCGGGTGTAGGCGTGGGGGCTACACATCTATCGCCTCTTTCACACAAAGGTATCACGTCGCGGAGCCAATGTGCTTTTATCTGGGGGGGGAGGGAAGGGGTGGTAAGGGAAGAAGGGGGGGGTAGATTAATGTTGATTACAGAGATGAGAAAAGAAGTGAGATTGTGAAGTGAGGATGGTGGGGAGGGAGTCTAGAAGATGTCGAAGTGCAAGTGAGCAAACGGATCGCACAATTGGCCATGGGTATCGCTGATTAGCTCCGAAATGGAGCATCAAAGTGTTGATACATCTGGGAATGTGTGTTACTGAGTTAATATACGATATAGCCAAAGGCTGGTTCGAATTAAAAACAAGCAGAACATTTCGAAAACAAATCAAGCATATCTCCCTAAAGTACTGAAAAACACTTTATAGTGTTGTCTCTGCTAAAAGTGACATTGTGCAGAAGTACAATGCAAATGAAGCGGTGAATCCCTGATACAGGTATGAACTTAAGTCATAGGTTGCTAGCGGGATGGTGGTGGTGCAGATAACATGGAAATTATCTCTCTTGGTCGAACAGCAGGGCTCCACAGTGTTTGTATCTGCATGTGCGCATGTGTGGGACTTGTAAGGCTGGTAGAATTTTGTTTTATAGCAACGTTCGCATACTGAATTATAGGTTAGGTAAGCAGACTTTTTTGTTTCTGGGCTGTGGGGAAGAAGAAAAAATAACAAGTGGCAATCGGTTTCCAAAACAGGGCTGGGCCCCTCCTAGGTCAACTCAGTCTACAACAGTATCCACCACAGTGTGTCAACCTTGCCTCTCGGAAGACAACGGCTGGCCAAGCGTTGCTCTGGCCTCACAGGAAAATCTTGGCATTGTGGATGTTGATGACAGTACACTCCCCAAGCACACGTAACTACTTGTGTCAGTCCACCGCTGGATGAGTGCCTTCCCCCATGTGGCGCCGTCGTGGGGGTTATTTCACCTACTTCACCACGCTGTGCCAGTGCGGTTTGGTGAAGGCGGAGAGAATAGACGCGGGAGCATAGAAGTATAACCCTAATTTTGCTGTACTTTTCCAAGCAGTGAGGACAAATGGGGACTCTACTTCCAAATTCACAAGTAGTGACCGCATGATTACCTTTATAACCATTCATCGCCATTCTTCATGCAAATCAAACGTATTCACTGACGAGATGCTTACCATCCGTACTCTCCTCCTCTCCATCCGACTCAAAGAACGGTTCGCAGTCATTGATCGGCGAGTCTTCATCCATGACAAACAGACCTGTACACACACACAGAAACCACTGTTAAACCGCTGACTAACGGAAACGCACGAGCACGCATGCACAGGCTATGGTCGAATGAGCGCAGACAAACATTCATCAGCTGAAATTATGGCTAGCTTTAGAGCCTGGCAAAAAATAAAACGAGAGTGCGCCTCCTCCCATGAAGGGCGAGTAAGAAAAGCATAGGCTGCCATGCCAGATTAAATTTTCCCATGCATGCGCTAACTTTCGTCATCAGCAATGCTCCACACGTTTGATTATCCGATATATGAACAATTGGACGTGTGTACGTTTGGACTTGCGCATGGATGAGCCGATGTCACTAGTACTGTCACAGTACTAGTAAACAGAACATGCCAATTCGACAGTGACGAATTGGCATGTTCTGTTTACATGACAACCCATACTAGTTGGCTGTGTCGGGTGGTGGCGGGTTTTAACGACACATTTATATATTTACGCGATCTAACCCAAAAACCTCTATTATGGATGATATTGGTCGCGAAAGCCTACGTGTTAAAAAGACAAACAATTACCCCTTGTTGGCATTTCCTGATGTAAGAGAAAAAAAAGAAAAGTGACCAGAAAAAGCCTACATGCACATTGATTGGCAAAACTCCACACAGATATGGTATAGGACGCAGGAATGGCATCAACCGTATTGCACAAAATGCTTTTTCTGCACTGTGCTGAAAGGGCTTCAGAGCGTTATGGATGGGTTTTATAGTCAGGAACACGCTTTACTTCCCCCAGCATCTCCATGCTGTCACGCGTTATCCCCGCTCAAGCGCAGACTAAAGACCTTTCTTTTTTCCCCTCTGACAATGAACGACTGTCTCTCTGTCGACGTGATAAATATGCCAAATGTTCTGTACAGCGTCTTGAGATGTGATTACATTTTGGATGCTATATAGAGCCACGTTGTTGTATTGTATTTGAACCGCCAACCTCGCAGTACATTGAACATGCCAAAGCCTGTTGGTGAGACTCAGAAGATGTGAAATTGGTGCAGTGTGCATTGCTGGATAACACCGGTCCAAAATGCCCTCTGGTTGGTATACTTGAAAGTCATTTTATTTTTGTAAGATAATTTTTTTTCCTTCTCTTGCTTGCCAATTATTCATACACTAGCTTTACTACCCGGCTTCGCCCGAGACTTGGATTCTTGTCTTGGATTAATACACGGCCTACGTGGAGGGTTGGGGAGGAGATGCCTGACGTCAGCAGGCACACTGCGTAACGCTTCCGCATGCGGGTGACATCACAGATGTGACGTCACCACTCACTTGGCATGCAAAATATATCCATTATTGCGCCCCCCCCCCCCAAAATACAAGTCTATTTTTATATTTTTTGCATTGTGTACAGTCTGGAAACTACCCACATGCCAAATTTCAAGTTTGTTGCATGTCGGGAAGTATGCTACAGACACACATTCACAAATTTCCCTTTTATATGGCTACACCACAGTCAATGGATCAGTAGGTCACGTGTGGTGGGGTAAAGAGTGGATTCTCCCACACAGTCCAAGACGTTTGGCCACCGTGGAAGAGTAGGCCAAAAATACCCTCTGGAGTTGCTCTCTATAACTGCCTCTAGGCGGAGGCCCTTCCGCCAGCAGTGGCATGAGCGAGCAGTTCCAGAGCTGTGCATTTTTGCATTTTGGCTGGGTCACAATTGAACAAGAGCCCACCAACTCAATGGGTCTCACCCAACAAACTGACACATCGTGGATTTTACCAGTGACGTCAATTAAAGATTCCCCAAGCACTCCAAGTCATGGGATTGAAGTATGCCCCGACCACCACACCCAGTCACAATATCACATGCGTGCACGGTTTTCCCGAGCCACATGGATTGTGTGGGAACGAGCGCTATGGCAGCAATCCAAAATTAACAAGCGTGAATGCTGTGAGTGCCACTGGTTATTGCCGGCGATTGGACGAGCCATCTCCTGTGATTTAAACGTCTGCCACATAAAGCTGGAGCACTCCCGGACATCCTCCCAACACATACTGTCCTGCCCTGAACTTTTATAAACGTGCTCCGGGCAATATTTCATCGCCCTGTATAAAGTGTCAACCACTTGTAAATCTTATTTAAAAGTACCCAATGTAAATATTACTCGACGATTTTAATTAAGGTTGCAACGCTTTATGTTTCTGTAACCCCGGACTTTCTACTCATCAACGTAAATTTTACGACTATTACTGTTACAATAGCAAGTCCGCTGAATATCGCACACACTAGCAAACCCATGATCAGCCGGCAATAAAATACATGTAAAACATAAAATATGAACGTAGCACTTGTAAAGATAGAGCAAACTCTTTTGTATCTAGCACGTGAGCACTGCCACTCAGTATTGCTACGGTAGTGTTAGTCACCGGAATATAATTAGAATTTTGATGTTAAAAAGGCCTCTGCAAATATCACGCGGATTCATTGTATATTTAAAAACTGTAAACACGTATTATAAGCATAATTGGCATGTCCATGGGACAGGTGACGCACGGTGAAACGAGGTGACGCATACCCCCAAGTGAGCGTTGTAGCAGCAAGGGTTGTTGGATCAGGGAGGTACGTGAAACTCCCAAACCCCCTGGGACGCAAGATGGCTAGAAGATGGATGCACAGCAAGTAGGCTTGTCAATCTGTTTGTGTGGAACTTTGAGTATTAACCCCCCCCCCCTGCATTAATGCGTTTTCTCCAGGTGCTTCAGCTTCTGTCTAAATTTCGATTTAAAGCTTTCGTGACTGCAGGGATTCATCTTCTTGGTTCTTTCGGTAAAGTCACGTAGAAGGGAAGTAAAATAAAATAATAAAAAAAGCATAATAAATTAATTATTTTATTATGTTTTATTTTTATTATTTTATTACTTCTACGTGACTTTACCGAAAGAAGCAAGAAGACTTCTGTCTCCAATCAACATATTCCTTACAAAACAATTGGTCAAACATCCCAAACCAGAACCCTCCGGGACAAGAGTTGTGCGCCTCTGTAAGGCTTTCCTGAAAACGTAAATTGCATTAGTACTGATGTTACGTGCCTTAAAGCAGCATATCTAGTTAAACATTATTTAAGCTCAATGAACGTTCAAGCAAACAGATGTGACAATGTAGGCATCGTAGATCTGTTTTTATGGGTGACCACCTTCTGAAGTCACTTTGTTCACAAATCTATAACTGCCTCCTGGTGTTTATATTACAAGTGAGAAAGTTTTCCCAAGAGAAGCCACTGAGCACAGCACACAAAATAACCTCTTTAAAATTAATGTTCTATAGCATGTACCGCGGCACGTGCAAATATCGTCTTTGGACAGACATCTGTTCGAATCTAAATTAAACACCAGAGTGAGCTTAGTTGCATTTGATTGTTTGTTAAGCTTTCCTTCACCCTGGCGGTTGCCTCTTTCATAACCGGCAGGGGGTGTAGTTTCCAATAATTTATCGACCCCATATACCCATCACCTAGTAAGGAGAAAATAGCGATACTTCTCCATGTCATGACGACACAGCGCTAAGAATGTCACGGTTTTGAGTTATGACGATGACGCTCCTGTTGAAAGCGGGAATTGCGAGATTTTAACTCCCTCGCCTGGTATAGAGGTCGTGTGTTCGATCCCGACCCCGACCGTTGTATACCTGGAGTTTGCATGTTTCTCCCCGTGGTCGCGTGAAATTTTTTCCAGGTCCTCCGTTTTTTCCCTCCACATTTAGAAAAATGCATTTCGAGTATTTGGCTGCTATCAATTTCCACATAAGCCACTTCGTTTTGCCATCATTTGTGGCCAGGTCGCTTCTGAAATAAAGATATTTAGCTTGTTGGCCTTACCTGGTCAAATAAAAAATTGTTTAATGTTTTTTACATCATTGTCATTTTATTATTACTTCCGCAGGTTTATATACGAGCAGCATTTGCATTGCCACAAATGGGAAAATAAAGTGTTGCATAAAAGCCGCTAGTGTGAATACTATAGTGTGGCAAAATGGGGCTTTTGCTATAGACTGCAGGCTGACGCTCTACTGGCGCTGTCACTAAAACATGTGCATCCTCCGAGCAGGTCACTCTCCTCTAATCGAGCCCCTGCAGACCAAACCGTGCTCTCGAAAAACAAGAAAAAGTGACTCAAATCCAAAGATCAACATTGACGTCATGTACCTTTTGAGATGCAGGCAACAAGCCAGCACCTCAAAAGGTACTGTACATCAGTTTTGTGATCAGTTTTCCCGACAGCGACATCTCTGCTTCGTTTCATACCATGACCCAGATGTTTATTATGCAACAGGTGTGCACCGTGAAGCCGACTATCATTGCCACAAGGGCAGGGGGGATAAGGCGTCACACCTGCACACAAGTCACCACAACACCAGGTGCTGCTGCCGGTAATCAGTGCATTTCTCAATTAGCATTTTCTCCTTTGCTGGAGTTGGCACGGCAGGTTACAAGACAGAACTGTTAACGAGGCCTCCTCTTGCCTAAACAGTGCAGAGCAGCCCCGGTGCAACCTCGGCAGCGCATCTGTGTCACCGTGAAAACACTGCTGCCCGTCAATGACACGAGTAGCTCTTGATGAAAAGTCAACAGCTGTCATTCTGATTTAAAGCTTTCATGACTGCAGGGATTCATATTCTTGGTTCTTTCGGTAGTCACGTAGAAGGGAGATAATAAAATAATAAAACAAAATAAAAATTCTGACGACGAATATAGCTGTCATTCTGTTTGGGGAATTGGCCCTGCCGTATAAATGTGGAATTTCCACCACGGGCTCAAAATGAACAAGTGAAAATGGGCGCTGCCCTATCTTTGACAAAACAGACACTTTTGACGACACACTCAGTTGCGTGACCAGGCATCTAATAAGTCCTACCATAGATTATTCACACGTCATAGGTTACATCGAAGTTACGTTTAACCAGAAATAATGCAGAAAGAAGATACACAGTTGAAGATAATGCCTGTGTTTTACAAATCTAAATTGCAGTTATTCTCCTG